TCTAATTTTACTGCTAATATAATCAGTATGATCATGCCATGACAGGGTCAGACTGTTCAAGGTATTCATCTGTCAATTTAAGGGGGATACAAATTGTAATTATTTCTCTGTCGTAGTTGGAAAACCAGGTATTTTGTCTTACTTAAAGGAGGACTCTTACGAAACCGCTCTATAATTTGAAAACCCGAAAAATTCAGTTATTTCATTATAATATGAATTTTTAGCGATTAATAAAGCCTTTTCAATAATAATTTTAGCTGAAAGTCGATTCTAGGGCGAGAAATTACGATTTGAAAACCGTTCCGCCATTAATTTTGAGGCTGGCAAGTGATTACGAAGATTAATGGCGGACGGTTTTCAAATCGTAATTTCTCGCCCTAGAATTGACTTTCAACTAAAATTATTATTGAAAAGGGTTTATTAATTGCTAAAAATTCATATTATAATGAAATAACTGAATTTTTCGGGTTTTCAAATTATAGGGCGGTTTCGTAAGAGTGCTTCTTTAAATTCAGGGTTAACTTTTATGAACATACCCATTCATAGATTGGTGGTAGTTCGGAATTTATTCGCTGGATCAATACGTCTAAATCTCTACCAACTCTTACAGTAAATTAATTAATAGCTATGATCATATCGTTTATACAAACTATAGAGAGAAATGGCCCTAACATTGACCATTGTGGCACTCGTGAATTTAATAAGTAAAATTAGACTCGACACCATTAACGAACACCTTTTGTTTCCGTTTGCTTAAGTAAGACTTGAACCACTGGTTTTCACCGGCACGAATACCATATACGTCAAGTTTGGAAATTAAAATAGAATGGTTAACTGTGTCAAAGGCTTTGCTTAAGTCTAGAAATATAGATACAGCATAGCTACCTTCGTCAATAGCTTTAGTTATATCATCTACTAAGTCACCCAAGCAGTCAGTTGTAGTTTTTCCAGCAGAAGGTAATAGCAAAGGATGAAATTTGTCAAGACCAAACAATTTCTTAGTATCAATACTTTCTAATGAAAAGAAGACCTCCGCTTCATTTACTCTCATAAAGCGGAACCGATTCTTTTTTCCTGTGCATGTAAGAGGAACGCGGTGATTTGATTTGTGCAGTTTAGATGCAAGTTCAGCTTGAACACTGCAGAAGTACTTGTTGATCGCATTTGATATTGAGAACGGCTAGCGCTGTTCAGAGTTTTCGTCGTTTTACTTCAGTGCAACTTGTCAATGTTGGAAAATGACCTCTTTTTGTTTGTAATCACATTAATGTTATCCCACATTTTCTTAGAGTTTGTAGAATCTTTAAGTATACTATCATAATATAGTGCGCGATATATTTTGTTAATGGCAACTATTTTGTTGCTATAAAGTTTGCATTAATCATGATGGCAGGAGTTACGTGTTGTCAACCATTTTTTAAACACCTGATTACGAATTTTAATTGATTTTCTGAAACCTCCAGTTACCCAGGGTTTATTTGACTTGTTTTTTATTTTGATTATTTTCACAGGTGCATGTCCATTGCTGTTAAAAATGTGACTGAATCTCGACAAACTTTCATTTGCCTCACAACTATTATATACGGGCAGCCGGTTTGCGTTCCTTAACGCATTTTAAATAGCAATGTTGTCAAATCTTTTAAAATCGCTAATTTCAATTGTGTCACTGAGGAATGGGGCTACAATTTGGATCGTACACAAGGCTGAAGACAGGCGAGGGATCAGCAACTTCTGCAGCAATACTCATTTTTGTCTCAGTTATACGCGTTCCTTCGAATACCAGGAATTAAACCCCTCTGATTGTATTACATTAAGGTATTCTTTCGGTAGACTGCTCTTAGAAAGCGTGTTAATGTGAAAATCACCTAGTATCAAACACTTCCGCTCAGACAAAAAGATGGTGTGCAAAACTTGCTCAATTTCATCAACAAATTTCCTATAGGACCCATTAGGCGGGTTGTAGCTTACGCTTATTATCAAACTGTGCGCATCCACCCAAATATTCTTAATTCCATCGATTCTTAGATTATCTCTTGGTCAATAGTCAACATCTTCTTTAAAAAATAAAGCAACTCCGCCGCCTATTGAGGAAATGCGATTGTCTGTTATCATGCAAGCGCTGTGCCTTCGTATTTGAAATTGATTCGGATCGACTTGAGGAGTTATCCATGTTTCTGAGCAAGTAATTCAATTAAATTTGAGGGGAGTAGAATCTAGGAGATTACATGGTTCGTCAAAATGTTTACGCAAACTTCTGAGTATTCAGATGTAACACCGAAAGATACGGTTTGACTACATTGGAGAGCTCGTTTGTCTCTTCTATTATAAATATGCCATGATCATCGAAGGATTGGAGATTTAGAATTGGATCATTTGAGCTGTAGATCATTCAGCAGATTTAAAACATTCTTCAATCTCGCATATTTCCCTATAGTTACTAACTAACCTGACAATGATCAAGACATCTATGAATTTTTGAACAAAGCTCCGTCTATGTACAATTGCCCACGATGAAAACGTGGCTTCTTTCCACTTTCACATGCCTCTTTCACATGCCTCTTTCATGACATCTTTCAACTTCTTCTTTTCCTCCCGACTTTCCCAAATGAGATCCTCGGTTGTCCAGACGTTTTTCTGAAGGTCATGTTTCTTCTGCAGTGAAGCACTTTAAATCTTTCAGGACGGTAAATAAATTAACAAATTATCGCTCTCGGCTTGTCGGCGATGCTTAGGCCTATCGATTTACTGCTGCCTGCAAGCCGAGCTCCTCACTGAAAGCACGAGCCGCTGAAAAGGTCTGCCATGAGGTCTAGATGTGTGAAAACACTTTAGAAGCCCAATGCCACTTTGTAAATTACTCTGAATCTGAACATCCTAAAACGATAAACGTGGTATCATTTAAGATTCCGGGCAAATCTCCTCTAGTGCAAACTTAGTTTTAATCTCACCTGAGCTTTCAACCCAACGATCGAGCATGCAATTAAACACTATGAAACTGCCTGAAAATTATGGAAATGTTTTTAAAGGTCCCCACGAGATAACCACTTTCCTGTGAGACAAAAAAAACCCGTCCTTTCTTAAGGAAGTGCCGTGTAGTAACAGTACAATTGTTATTCAATGTCGGCACACTTTCTCTCAACCAAATTCTCTCTAAAGCTGTACTTCCACCAGAGCCTCTCTTAATTGAGATTTGCAGTGACTGCGTTGGGTCCATGTAGGGGCTGAAGCCTCTTTTTCCTATTTCCGTATTTATTTTAACTTTTGTCATCATTATTATTATTTTTCAATCTATTCCTCGAACGTGATGGTTTTTTCTTTTAAGATCGTATTGATGCTTTGTTGGTCTGAATATCCGCTTTCACTTTAATATTTTGGCTGTTCATTTCTAAACGCTCTGAAACCAATATTTGTTTTCTTTTTTTATCGCGAGAATGTTAAGAACTGTTCTGGTATTTTGGCGCAATATGTGAGATTCTAGATCAATTTGATAATTATAAAAATAGCCCAAGCAATTCGTGACGAATAGGAATGGGTTCTCCTGTTAATAAAAAAAATTACAACTGCCACTGATCACCAAGTGAATAAACATGTCTACACATCGAGGAAATGGAGGGACAACAGAGCATCAATGAGGCGTGGAAAACATTGAAATCTTCGGATGAAAAGACAAAACATCCTGGGTTTAAGACAGCTATGACAAAAAGAGAATTAAGGAATATGGTCCCTAGGGAAATGTTTCTCGAAAGACACAATACATTCGAATTACATTTTTGAGAGCAAACAAATCAACTCGTTAACTTTCCAAACTTGGACCTTCCTCACAGAGTTTTATTTCTGATAAGCGTGCGAGGTCAGGGAGACAAAAATATTGGCCAGGTTTCTTTCTGAACCTTTCAAAAACGTACCGCAAAGAAATAAGAACGTTGTTCCTGACCATACATCTTGACCATAAAAGCTTGATCAAGAACTTGAAGTACATTCGCTTTTCGATCTCTTGCCAATTAAATGCCTGAGACCCGTCTTGGATTTTATCATCGCTCTAGGCCCTCTTCAAGACCTACGTTTCTGTGTTTAGAAAATCACTCCTCTTAAAACTAGAAGAAATTTTTTCCTCGTTAATATGCACGGATTAGGGATCCACGGCTTAAAACAAACCATGTAAACGACCACAAAGTTTTTTTTTTTTTTTTCAGTGTCTAGGAAAAACTATAGAAAATTCGAGTGGGTATATTTGTTCGTGCATGTTACCTGCCCGTAGGAGTCATATATTGAATGACCACAAGACATGTATGACCTCTGAAAGACAGACCTCTTCAGCGTGGCGCCGTGTCCTTCTGAAATGTCTTGCATCATACACCCTTCTTTATCTCAATCGTGTTGTAAGATAATAATATGCAAGTACAAAAAGAAATCTCAATGATGAATTTCCGTTACACCGATCAAAATGACAACAAATAAAAACAATGACTCTAAGCTGAATTTTATCAAATCTCCTTAATAAGCGCGATTAGGGCAGTTGTTTATTTATGTTGTAAGGAAATTACGGCCTGTTTGCCTATTTGCCTCCACATACACCACAACTTCTTCTTGTTTTCGCGGCATGTTTCAGTTACACCCCGAAAACAGCATTGCTGATATTAAAAAGAGCGGCAATCGTCTAAGATTGAAAGCTATCATTGGCATATCGAGCAGAATTTTTCTCTTGAGGATTCGTTAAGGAAGTGTCTGATCAAAGAGCTCTCAAGCTTTCGGCAACGCAATCAACTGTTTGTAATCTGTCATGGTGCCCTTACAGAGCTTCTCGCTGAAACAGAGGGGCTCATTAAAATCCTTTTTGTATTGTTTGGTTTTTTATCCATTTTTTCTAAAGAAGAAATGGGGAATTATCCAGTTTCTATCCAATTTCATCGCTATACGTGTTTGCCGAGCCACTCTGATGAATAAAAAAAATGTTGAAAACAACTGAAAACAAGTACTCACGCAAATAAGGAAAAAGATCAACTTATTTCCATCCTTTGTGATTATTAACCAGCTATAATGTCTGAATCAAAATTCCTGTTTTTGCTTTATTCACATACATCAACAATAGTAGAGCATATACATATAGCTAAACCTCCTACTATTTACACTTAAAATGTTTTATCTTGTTCTGTCAAAAGACAAAAGAAATTCCCTAAACGATTCAAATTTGACAGTAGTTAAAAATAAATTGGTTTCGTTTACCTACATTATTGAAAATAAAATGTTGCTACCCAATAATATTTCTTCGACTCGTAAAGAAAAGTTACGAACTACATAAATGAAAACATAAGTTCGCGAGGTTTTTCGACAACGAAGGAAAGCATTGCGTTACATGTCACGCTGTACTATTCGAGCATGTGGCAATATTAAAACTCAGCTGATGTGTGTTTGCGTTGACTGGTCATTCATACATTGGCGATTACTTGGCCGAGAAACCAACAATATATAATTTATTCGTCGCTCTAAACAGGGTAAAGCCTCACTACTCAGAACTCTGGAGGACAAGCAAGAGGCGCTTAAAATATGCCATGCCAAGGATTTCGACTGTCGTTGTCTTCCGGGCGACTTTTGCATTGGTTTTGTTCATTTTGATGGGACAGATTTTATTGTTTGCACTGACACGCTGCAAAGGACTAGGAGATGAAGATCTGAACGCGAAAAATCGTGGGCGACAAGTTGAAATTCCCACGGAAAAATTGTCGTCGTTGACGGAAAAAATTCGACGCCTGAATCTCGATGTTCAAAATCTGAAAGAGGAGAATAACGCTTTAAGTGGTGTCATTCGCGATTTAACCACACGTAACAAAGACATTTCAAAGCGTTTAAAGCGGCTTAGAAATGCGGAGAAAATCACCATCGCTCAAGAACTCAGCCGTGAAAAAAGCCGAAAGACGACAGGAGAATTTTTGAGAGGTCAACCGTTAAGAAATGAGTTTGAGGTTGTTCCGTTCGACGGCGTCGCGTACAATGCGATTTATCAGATTTATCACGGTCTCTCGGGTAATCCTGCCGAAAGACCGCATGGACATAAAGGTAAAGATTACCAAGAGGTTATGAAGATTGCCGTTGATGCTCTTAAAAACTACGAGGGCAGGAAAATGGAGATCACAGCGAGAGATCTTGTGGATGGAATAATGCGGGTCGATCGCATTATCGGTTCCCAGTACGATTTTTATTTCAGATCAACAAACAACAAAGTTTTTCACCGAGTCAAAATTGAACGTCCATTCGGTCCTTTGAACCTTGCAGGCAGCATTGAGACAATTGACACAAACAACGAGCTCATAAACTTGATTTTGCCGCTATCGGGTCGGCTGGATAAATTTAAAGCCTTCCTGGACAATTTTGTCGATGTTTGTGTGAGATGGGACAAATCGGTTTTTCTCACAATCGTTTTCTTTGGTCAGGATGGTAAAAAAGAATTGCAAACCATGATGGCGAACGTCTCCAAAGCAGAGAATTTCACAGATTATAAACTAATATTTACGAATGAGACATTTTCTAGAGGCTACGGTCTCCAGCAGGGTGCTATTTCCTGGGAGAAAGGCAATGTCCTCATGTTCTTTTGTGATGTCGATGTTATGTTTACATCTCAATTTTTGGATCGCTGTAGATTTCACTCTACCCCAGGGTTGAAAGTATACTACCCAGTCGTGTTTAGTCTTTACAACCCCACTATAGTGTACGGAGGATCACCACCTTCAAATCAGAACCAATTTCGTATAAATCGTGACACTGGTTACTGGAGAGATTTTGGTTATGGAATGACTTGCCAGTACAGAAATGACTTCATAAAAATTGGTGGCTTTGATCTGTCAATCAAAGGCTGGGGAATGGAAGATGTGAAGTTGTATCGAAGCTACCTTGCCAGTGACTTGATTGTTATTCGGGCAGCAGACAGAGGAATCTTTCACACATGGCATCCAAAGTACTGCAGTCGCAACCTAACCCAGTCACAGTTTTTATCCTGTATTAAGAGCAAAGTGAAATCAGAAGCTTCTCATTCACAGCTTGGTCTTCTAGCTTTTGGTATGAAAATTTTTGATGAAAAAGAGATTAACTGGATTGAAAAACTTAAGGCTTCTAAGGAAAAAAAAATTAATTAGAGAAAAAAGTCAGCAACCACTTCTCAAAGAGAACCTTTATTTAAAAATTACTGAAAAATGTATAAATTAATTAATGCACCAAAATAATCAAAGAAATGACGGGAACTCCTTGCAATGGTTGATGCACGTGTAAATAATTCCAACACATGCTGTATTTAAAAAGTCTCCCTGCACGAAGATCTGTATAGATGACAGTGGTGTAAATGGAGAAAATAATATGTGATTCTTCAAGGTCTTATTTCATGAAAATGACACACTTTTTATTTAACATATTTTCTGAGTTTTATACTGGTGAAATCCAGAGTAATCAGAGCTCAACACTAACTTTTCAACTTACTAGCCAAGTGGCTTGTGACAACTTAGGTATTAGAACAATTTCAGTTTGTTTACCAGCCAAACTGGCCAGCAGAAGTAAAAAACCACAAGCCAACTCTGAATTTCTACTAGTTTGAGGCTAGTTGGCTACCATTAGTGTCAAGCCAGGGTAATATTGAAGTCATACATTACAAAACAATTCACCTAGTGCGGTCAGGGCAGTAAAGTTAGAGAGAATGGAGGAAGCTCTTGAAGTCCTTAAATTCTCCGCAAAAATTAACAATTTTGAGTCTCTAGATTTAAAATTGTTTTGAGGATAATGTTCTTCAAGCTATATGATCCTCAAGGAAATTTCCACCTTTGAGGCTTATGTTTTAGCTTTCTGTGACATCAACATTTTTCTGACCCTGAAGTAGGAATTATACAGTAAGATTAAGTTAGCCTAGAGGTACACAGTGTGATTAATCTTTTTATTGAGAATTGTTTCGGGACGTTATTATCACAACAGGATAATAATCCTGTGTTTATTTTGAAGCTAAGATATTTTCATTAACAGCTTTGATATCTTTCTCTGATGATAACTTCAATATCAAGCAACAAACTTGTATGTGGTTTAGGGTATTTAATATGAATGAGAGTACCTTGAGTAAACTTTGTACAAAAACAGAGATTCACAAATTATTTAAGGCTGCTGTAACAGAACTGTCAGTAGGGGCTCCAATTTACCTGTACAGGAAACACTTTGAAGAGGACAAAATTTAAAAACACAATCTAGAACCAAGCATAAGAAATAAAACATAATTTGATTAGGATTAAAATCATTGGCAGTAAAATTAAAAATTTAAGTGTTCTGGTGGAAAATGAGCTAATACAATTATTTTAACACTTAACATAAGAAATTGTACCAATGCAAAATTTCTACAAAGGAGCAATGGATATGTCCATGTCAAGAACCCCCTGAATTAAGGGAAACTTGAGTCCCTGAGCTGACATTGTTGTCAAGGATTTTTCCATCTTTATTATTAAAAATTACAAATGCCAGCTGTTTTGCACATGTGAGATCAATAGGTCAGACACAGAAAACTTAAACTGTAAGATTACAAAGCCTTTCTATTAACTGTGGTCAAATTAAACTCTATCTAATTTTTAGTACTATCTCTCCAGAATCTTTGCTACCACAAAGACATCTTCTATGAGTGCAATCAAGTTCAAACATAACTATATAAATATTTAATATTTAAAACAATCAATTTTTAAAAGTGGTGTTAACGAGTTCAGTTTTCCAGCTGTGATAATTTTCTTAACTTTGTCCACATAACATGATAAATTACAGATCAACATCCTAATGAGAGCTTGGGTTATTTTAGGTACTGTGCTTTTCATTTTACTTGAACTGTCAGGATTGGAAGTAAAGACACTGTATTGGAAGTAAAGACACTGTATAATGAGACTGAAAATTGCAGAGAAAGTGAGTTATTCATATTTTATACTTAAAATAAAAAGATCAAACCTACAAATTTAACTGAGACATTGAAAATGTTTTATCATAATTATGCAATCTCTCAAAGCAAACACTCTTAGATTTCATTAACAATTAAAATCATGTTGTGAAAAAGCTTTGAGTTTGGAAAATAAAGAGTTTTTCCAGGGCTGACTTTTTCTGAGCTTTTTATAAGCTTTTACTACATCACTCAATCTTTCAAAAATTAAATCAAGAATAATACCTAATATGCAAAGACCTGTTTTGAAATGTTGACATCTTTTCTGAGCAATACATTTTCTTTCATTACTAACAGTATTTGTTATGGTAAATACTTTTGTCAGTAACTTGCACCTCTCAAAGACCCAGGTACAGAAGATCTGACTGTTATAATTGATACTGTTGAATGAGTAATTAATTCATTTTTTCCAAATAAAGTTTCATTTGATGGAAGGGCAATTGATAAATCCATTTTTATCATTCTAGTCATCACCATAAATTCCAAATCCTATGAAGAATGCTATTATTCATTGACTATGTAATTTTTGTCGACATGTAGCAACTCAGGAAACTATGTTACTGTTTCTGTTTCCTTTTTAGTGAGCTCCAACAAATTAGTGATTCTGAAGTTTGCTGTAAATAGATATCTGCACAGGTACTAGAGACACCTGACTGCTAAGAGAATTTTTACTAAAGAACAAACTGAAACGAATAATTTAAAGCAAACATTTGAACCTTTGCCAGTTGTCATCTGCACAGCTTTTCTCAAACTAGCACTGACAATGAATGGTTGATTTGTTCTATGTTATGTCATATTGTTTTAATGTTTAGACAGGAAGCAAGAGGCGACTAATAAATTATTTTTACAATTGATCATTCATTTGGTAATTCAACCATCATTGAGCAAGTTATGCTCTGTAACAAATAATTCTATTGATTATTCACATATTTAAGGACAATATAACTGATAAATTCTCCCCTACAACAAAATTATCCAGCAGAAATGTGTATCACCACAAGGGACATTTCTGACCATTGAGTTTCAGACAGAAGGCAACATCATCAAAAAGTGTGTAATTGACCCACTTAATTTGATAAGGTCATGAAACAATACACTATCATCCTGCATGGAAACCCAGTACATGTGGAAGTCCAAGGCAATCCTTTCTTTTTTCATGTACAATGAATATTACTCATCACTAAACTCTTTCAAACTATCTCCCATAACGACTGAAAATCACATCCTAACTTAAATTATGCTGCACACTGAAATTACTGATAGCAATGGACCTGCATGACCAAAAAATCTCAAACACAAACCACCAATGGCAAGAATTTAATTAACCCTTTCAATTTGGGTCAGGAAACAATACAGGTTATCACCCTATCATATACATGTATGAGTACTATTTACTTCAAAAAATACACACCATATTAATTTTTGTCAGGTAAGTCATTTCTTAGGAACCTTAGAGAATTGACCCACTGAAAGTAATTGAGAGCACCTAACTTTTTGTCTACAAGTCAAAGTACAATTACCTTTTTAAATCAAACTTCTAGACAAAACAACTGCATGACTAATGCAGTATTACTGTGTTGTTTGTGTATTGCTTTGATCTCAGCAAATATAATGCAAAACGGAAATACCTGCAGATTACACACACACTCACCTCCCTCGTGCACTAAACACACTTTAATGCATCACATGTATCGTATTGTTCTGTTGACCTTGGATTAAATGGTAATAAAAAATACACCTAATCACACAAGCAAATTTAATATATGTTTTGTACTTTCAGCATCAGACAAAACCCTTTATTATATTAAATATTTTACTGGCTTCGATCCATGTGAAAAAATCTCATCTGGCCAGTGACAAATTTAAAAAATATTTGATTCAATTGTTGCATTGACAGTAGGTTAACATGCAACCTGTATTACTGTATATCAGAGCCTCTGCCAGCCAATGAACTTTATCTGTTATCTTTGTATGGTTTACTGCCTGCTTACTATTCTTATCAGCTCAACACATAGCCATCAAGACCAGCAGGCTGAGTGCACAATATAGATTCAGTAGGAAATTTGATACTTGAAACAACCGTTTTTTTTTAGTAACCTTCTGCTGCGGTAAAACTTCAAAGAAATGTCTGATAATTTAAAGAGAAAAACAGACTGAGGATCTTTAAAGCTGCAAACTTTCAAATTGTTTGCTAATGTCAATTTGGTAATTAAATATATTTGTTGGGCAAATTTAATGCCACATTACAGTCCTTTTAACGATACATCATACACACTTCTAGAAACATTACTTAGAAATCCTATTCTTTATTCCGTTATTGTTTAGTTACTTCTGTCCATTTCTAATAAATTACAAATTAAAGTAATATAATAGACTGCAGGTAAATGTGAATAACTTCCCTATCAAGTACAATTCACCAATACTGCCAACCCACAATCCACAATCAGGATAATTAAAAGTGATACTGCTTCTTAAATTTGAGTATAACCCAATATAGAAAAAATGTCTGCACGTACACAGCTGTACTCTAAATATTGTTTAGTTTTACAATGTATGAGCAAGTGCATGTATAAACAGTATTATAAGTTATGGTGTCTAAAAATAACCTTTAATTCTTGTGCAAACTGTACAGATTGATGATATTACATCAGGATAACATTACAGATTCTAAACTTTACGGATTCTAAACTTTATGAAATTCGATATTGTTCAGCTCAGCATTGGCCATTTTAAATCAAAATTTACTCAGTAACGGTTAAACTGTGGGGAATCCGATGTAGAATTATACAAAGAAATGTCCTCACCTACAGAAAATAGGGGCTCTGCATTTAGGTAAGGCTTGTGTTCTTCTCCTACATCTGCACACTATTATTTTCAAGCAGTAAAACTGCTGCATCACCCAAAGATGCCTTTGGAAGCAATATTTCAAAAAAGGGACTTTTTTCAATGGAATATCTTTTCATTTATAATCTCGCGAGAGAAGTAGTCCTGGCTGATTCATTTTGTAAAGAAAAATAAAATAAAATCACACTGAGAGTCAATAAGCCAACCACTTTCATTAGGTTTGAATGTGTATGTCTGCAGTAAACTAAGATGGTTGGTCTGTAAGGTTTACACACACCACTATTATAATAGTGTAATAATTTGGATACATCAACAAAGTTGAAATGGTAAATTGGCCACCGTAACGATTACAAAAGCTGACGTTTCGAGCGTTAGCCCTTCATCGGAGCGAATAGAGGAATTGTGGGTTGTGTGTGCTTTTAAAGGCAGAAAATGGAGCTACGTTATTGGTGGGAACATGGCAACGAAAAAACAAGAATAAATTTAGTGGAATGAAAAGCATTCGTTGATCCCTGTGGGATTTAGACTGCCGGTTTGAAAGATGAGCTTTAGTTCAAGATTTTTAGCGCTTTTCGTGCTACCTAAGTGTAATTATAATAGTGCTCAGCTTAAGATGTACTACATTTTTTTATCGTACGAAAGAAATAGATTCCATGTTGCCACATGCCTGTTCAGTAACAGATCACAGATGACATCTAAAGGTGGTAAAAATAAAAAAGTGGCACACTATGCTCAGCAATTTCTAAACATGATAAATAGGAGATCATTTTGGGGGTTCTTTTGTCAAGTTAAAACCCTAAAAGATCCAGAATAGCTTCTAGATTTACTCACTTTAGATCTAAAAGTCTCAAAAGAAACCATATACTGGCTTGAATGACAAAAGGCTAATACATGTCACCATTTGAGCCAAAATATTTCAGACTGTAATCATAATGTGTTTCAGTCGTCTCCATCCATATTCCTCTTTTGTTTCTTCTTGATTGATTTAAAAATTTAACCCTTAAGAACTGATAACTAATTCTTTTTTGTAGCTGGTACGAAACTGGATGTAATTACGTCAAGAGAGCCCTATTCTATATACATACAGTAGGAAGCTTATATGAATACTGATATACAAATATCTTTTAGCCAAAAATTAAATCCTAACCTGCAAATTTAACAAGAGATATAAAAAAGATCACCCATTAGCTTTCCTCATTAAAACTTAACTCTAATGTGAACAAAGCCCAGTTCAAATTTCTTAATTTGGTAATATCAACTAAGTTGAAATTGTAAATTGGCCACTGTAAAGAGTTAAAAAGCAGATGTTTCAAGCATTAGCCGTTCGTTAGAGCTCTGACGAAGGGCTAATGCTTGAAACATCTGCTTTTTAACTCTTTACGGTGGTTAATTTACAATTTCAACTTAGTTGATTACCAAATTACGTTGTTACCCCCACCAGTGCAGCACCACAGTTTCTTTACAAACTTACCCCCTTTAAAAATTTCTTAGTTCTGCATTTCTAGTCTGTTCATAATAAAACAACTTTCCTTCTAAATTTGCATCAAATAAAGAGCTCAATGTGATACATTTTGGATTAAAAATCTTACCAACTCAAAAATAGCAAATTAAAGTAATCATTTAGGATATTTCTTAGCTACACAAACTATACCATACATGTACTTATTATCAAGTTAAAATAATAACAGTATACATCACCACTAGTTTATATGACTATTACTTCGTGACTGTACAGTCACTAATAGTGGTGACTACTTTTAGCAAACCAGTTTGAATTGCATCGACAATTCCAGGGAATGATCCTAAACTTGTAAGGACTTCATGAGCTCCTTCCCTGAATAGTACAAAACAGAAAAAAAAAAAAATTGGGGCAAAGTTGTCATGATCCACCAACACCAACTAAGTGATCTAAGTATACAACATAATCAATTTGAATACAGTACAACCCTGCTTACTCAAACTCGTTTTACCAGAACTCGATCCTAACTTGAACAAAATCAGATTTCCCTTGGATTTGACCCCATTGTGTCAGTCATTTACTGTCAGCTAACTCAAACTCAATTAACTCAAACTTCCCACTAACTTGAAGTATTATAATTTTACTTTCTCTTAGCTCAAATTTACCCTGATAACTTGTCAATGAACTGTTAGTAAAAACGTCAAGCAGTAAACATCCAAGAGTCAAGAAACTAGCTGATACACAGAAAATAATTCCAATCTTGGATTGCAATTGGCATGAACATGATAACATTAATAAAAATGTTGAAGCCTGAGTGTGTAAGGTCAATGAGCATCTGATCATTGTTGATATGGCAGGGTACTGTACACCACAATAATTACAGTATTACCGGTATTCATTTCGGGAGTGACCCAGTCCAAATATGACCAAATTAAATTATCAAACATTGAACACACATTAAAATGTTTGCTAAAATGTCCTTCATCACAGTCACAAACTCCAGTACAGGGTGAGCTGGGTATCAAAATAATTTGGATATATCAACAAAGTCGAAATGGTAAATTGGCCACTGCAACGATTACAAAAGCTGACGTTTTGAGCGTTAGCCCTTCGTCAGAGCAAATAGAGGAATTGTGGGTTGTGTGTGCTTTTAAAGGCAGAAAAGCCTTTCATTTCACTAATTTATTCGTGTTTTTCTCATTGCCATGTTCCCACCAATAACGTAGCTCCATTTTCTGCCTTTAAAAGCACACACAACCCATAATTCCTC